AAAAAAAAAAAAAAAACAGAAAAAGAAGAAGAAGAAGAAACTATAACAATACCATTAATTTAATTGTTTTCTATGAATACATAAGTGCGTAGAATGAGAACTTGTTTAAAATTTTCTTTTACGCGAACTCAACCCGTCATTAAACCAACTATGACTGCGTAGCAGGCTTTACATTACAAGGAAAAAATAAAAAAAAAAACGAATGAAATAACAAAGAAGGGGAAAATCAAACGGCTTTTTAACCGGAACCAGCATCCTGTACAACAAACGCATTAAATAAATTGAAAAATGTTAGAATCTTTTTTCAAGTCGAGAGAACAAAGGCAAGACCAAGCACGTGTTGTTTGAATATTTAATTGAAAAATTTTCCACATTTATTTAATGCGTCATATGGTTGGTTAAATGATCCGGGTTACCTCGCGAAATCAAATACGAATAAAATAATGAAATGTTTTTTTTTTGTTTTTGTTTTTATTTTTCGATATCGAATATTATGCTGCGTTTTAATCAAATTATGCAAGGAATTAATCTGTTAAAGAGCCCGCGCCAAGCAGCTCAAGCTGCTGTAGGCTCTTTTTCTAAAGTTAGTCTAGAACTTTAATTGACTTTCACGTTTAACTTTGCGAAATATTTGGCTAACTATTGAATCACGAGAATCGTCGAAATTCCATTATCTTTGAATTAATATATAAGAATTACAAAGTATTTTATTATTTGTTCGCTCAAAATGATTTTTATCAATGCAAAATTTCGATTAGTGTAATGCCGTACAATTATTTACATACGCACCAAACGTATGCTTAAGTGATATGGTGGCACTCTTTGTAAAATGAAAAAGATCATTTGCCGCAAGCAGCATTTTCTCGGCTCGATTCCAAGGAACATGCGACTAAATCGTGACAAATGATGAAAAATGGATGATGAAAACTGATTTGAAAACGCAGGCCAGGGTAACTACCGGACAGGAATTTTCAGAGATCCTATAAAATATATATATTCTTGATCGGCGTGAAATTTTGAGTTGATTTAGCCATGTCTGTCCGTCCGTGTGGTGTGTGCTGTTGACACTCCCCTGGTAGCAAAAATGAAGATATCGAGTTCAAATCTGGTAAAAGCATTGGAAGTGATAGAAAAAGTGGGCCGATCCAAACAATTTTTAATAGCGGTCGTCCTTAAGCGAAAGCACGTTACTCTAGCAAATTTCCTCAGAATATCTCGAACTTTCCAACCCGTAGATAGAATGCAAGAAAACAAGACGGACAGACAAGTTTAGATTGGTACAAGAAAAGGTGAGTCTATTCTAGGTCCATCTGAGTTTTAGAATCGTTCTCGCACAAACTTAATATACCCTTTGCACCATAAGCGCTGTAGGGTATAAATATATTTGCAATTTTAATTGATATGAAGTCGAAGTGATCGGGTATCAGGACTTTGTCACAAGGCAAATATAGTTTTCTTATTTGTACTAAAGCTAACAATGAACAGCTTCTCTATAGCATATGGATGAACTAAGAGATTTTGCATACAATGAATGTCATATAGTTGGGAAAACTCTAATCGAGATCGCCCTTAACTTATGGGGCTAAGCAAAAGAAAAAAAAAAGAAGAAGCAATTTTCTTCATTGACCCATTTTCTTCTTGAAACGGGTGGTTTTCTTCTTTTTAATCTGGAATATGGAAAAGTCTTGATTTAAGTCAAGATATGCTAAACTAAACTTTTTTAGAAATCTCTTTCTCTCTCTGTAGTGCTGACAGCAAGATCAAGTCTACTACTGCGTAGTTTATCATTGTTGTTATTTATATAAGAGATATGCTCGGAATTTTAATAGACAAAAGAATTATATTTTGTATATTTCTTCTTCTTTCGAAATCAACACGCAATAAATATTTATTTTGCATATTGTTTTCTTTTCCAGATGACCTTGATTTTAAGCAATATAAACATATCTCCCTTTTTATTTGGTTTTTTTTTTTTTTATAATTAAAAAAGAAGAATTGAAAAACACTCTTTATGTGCACATTTATTCGTACAAATATATCATATAAATAAATATATCAATAATATTCTAACGCATTTTACTATGCAGCGGTATCTTCGAAAAAGCCATATGCCTTGGAGAGCGATTGTTCAATATTTTTGAAATGTTTTTTTTTTTTTTCTGTGTTTTTATTAAATTAAAATTTATTTTAAAAATACATACGCATTTAAAATAAAAATAAATAACAAAATAAATAAATTATAATTAATTAAAATAAATAAAATTTGTTGTCTTTTGCCAGTTATTTTTTTTAATAGGTTTCTTATGAAAAGTTTTTATTTCTTTCTACATCTCGCATATCTCATTATATTTTCAACTGGCTTCAAGTAATTATCAACAAAATGGAAACAATTCTTTTTTTTTATTTTTATTTTTAATTTTTTTTTTTTTTTTTGTGTACAATGTTTCTTTCATCTCTTAAACGAAACTCCAGTAAGTAATTTGGCGGCGGCGGCGGCTGTGTTTCATTGCCTAACCGGGCAATGCTAACATTATCGTTAACGTTAACATCTTCTTTTTAACTTCAATTTTAGTTCGTTTACTTAATTTTTTCTAGATCTGATGATGTCAAGTCATCTTCAAGTAATATTATGATCCCTATTAGAGATAGTTTTTTTTTTCTTTCTTTTTTTTTTTTTTTTTGTTAATACGAAAATAAAGTCTTTCTATGAAAAACAATTTCGTGCCGGTTGCGCTTGTTTGTCTTTCGTCTTCTTTTTAAGCTGTTATGAAATTCAAAAAAAAAAAAAAAAATATCATTTTGTCAAAATTCTTTTTAGTGAAAGATGTTTGAAAAAGTTTTTCAATTTTTAATAATCATCATACTACCGTTGGGTAGTAAAAAAAAAAAGCTACAAATTTGCCTAAAAATTCTAAATGAATTGTACGTGATCGTAGTGAGGATGATTGACCCGAAAAATCTCAATATTTGATTCTTGCATAAATGAAATGCATTTCAATGCATGCTTTGTTTGATTATTTCATCACTATTCAAACTCATCAAAATTCTTGATCTCAAACAAATCGTTCACAGGATTATGAACAAAAAAAGCGATTAAACTTTAAACTTGAGCAACTATGGTAAGCAGCATTTCAAAAGCCAGGAAATAAAAAAAAAAAAAAAAAAAACGAAAACAATCGTAAATATATTATCGCTTTATGACTTTTCCATTTAAATGAGGCGAACTTATCCAAATATCTTTTCTATTCGGTGCTTTATTTTACGAATTAGACGAGAAGTCAGAGCAAACTATATGAGGAGAATAGCAGGGGACCAGTGTAATTTGATGCGAAGATGCGTAAACGTGATAGAAAAACAAAGACTTGTCTGCGACAAACTTTACGAAGACAACGCATAATAAAAGAAATGAATTCGTATAACGTACTACTGCACCGATTTATTTATTTTTGATCAAAGTAATTTTTAATTTTTGGTTTGGGAACAATCGATGTCCTTAATCAATTTGTCTTTATAGGCAGTATGTTGTAGTTTATGTTATGTTGATTGCGAATATATTTGAAAGCGACTTTCAAAGTCTTCTCTTTGCTGAATGTAAAGAGAGTTTTAGATCGTTTTAGCTTTTAGGACGATATGTCTTATGAGGTGTAGGGTGTAGTTTTCGTCTTTTCGTCTTCCTTCATAAATTTTTCTCGCAAATGCTTGTAACCGCTGTTGTTATGGGCTCTTAGTTATACTTTTACATCGATTATGACCGTATTGACGCCTATTTTCCATTTTCATTGATGGCCATCAACTAACCAAACGTACACATGTAAATAATCCATTTTCCAGCTAAACTTTTCTGACTATCAATATACCATACGATCAACGTGCAGATGTACAGGATCAAATCAGTACAGAATTTCCGTTCGGATAGATAAGATAAGAGTGAACTATTCGGACACTTAGTGGTGTCTGCATGCTAGTGGATTTGATTTTAATAACTAATGATGGATTCTCCCATTGTCGGTACTGCTAAATTGTGGTATATATGCATACATATATATCTTATAGTAGGATCGATTCAGATGACAGGTAATAGAGAAATATTCCAATAGTTAGTGATAGATGTTAATAGCGTTGATCCTAATAAATAACAATGGATTCTTCTATTAGCGGTATTGATAGATAGATAATGTCGCTTTTGTATGGAAGCTTTGGCAATTTGGGGAGTAACAGGACATGGGATCATCATGAGTTCTTTCGATGATGAAATTAATTATGAAAATATCTAAAGTCTAAAGTAAAACTTTCTTTCATTAATTGGGACGATTTAAAATCTTACATTCACGACCGGAAATCACACGACCACGCACGTCATTATGAAAATATTACAAAAAAATTGGTTGAAACATTATTTTAAGTGAACGGAAAGTCAACACTATATGTGTAACACTATATGTGTTACGCAAGAAAGTAAAGAATTAATAGATCTTTATAGATAGAATGGATTCAAACCATGGAAATTAGTTCCTTACTTGTATTTTCACAAGTTATTTTTCACTTCATGCAATCTCAACTCTGGGATAGATGCACTAGAAACATGATGTAAATGCCATAACAAGATTGACATGACTCTTGTTAATTCACTTAAAGCTAACTGCATCTATTAAATATGAAGAGCACTAATTAAAAATTAAAAAAAAAAAAAAAAAAATTACAAAAAAAGCGCTTAAATAGGTGCAAATTAGAGCAATATTGAAAAGAAATCTACACACACACACACACACACACACACACACACACACACACATATGCACACACACACACATACATATATATATATATATATGCACATACAACAAAAACTTAGCACTTTTATAAAACCTGAAAGTTTCCGTTTAATTTGAATTGTGTTCGATATTTGTTTTACTTGCAGGTATGCGCCGAAGAGAAATGCCAAGAGGAGGTTGTGCTATTGGCTCTTAATTATATGGATCGTTTTTTGTCCACAAAATCGGTGCGTAAAACGCATTTACAAATCTTGGCTGCCGCTTGTTTGCTGCTCGCATCGAAATTGCGTGAACCAAGTTGTCGAGCTCTGTCCGCGGATCTTTTGGTTTTTTACACGGACAATAGCATTCATAAAGCCGATCTGATAGTAAGTAAAAAAAAAAACGTAACGAAATAAATGCATTGAACGAACTAACAAACGCCAAGTCATTTACGTTATTTGCAAGAACGGTCGATGTATTTAAATGTAGTTAGTTATGACTATTGCTGCATTTATGATATTTACACTATGGTGTGCTAAGCCGTCTTCGATATTCGATGTGCAAGAAATATTTTACTTAACATTCCTTTATTTACAATGTTGCTCTCTATCAATATTTATTTAAGAGGTTTAGCTGTCTTTTATGGATGTCTTTCTGTTTCGATTTTTTTTTTTTCTTATTTTTTTATTCGAAATATCTGCTCCTGCTGCTGCTGCTGCTGCTTTTGTTGTCGTCGATATTGTTGTTGTTGTTATTATTATTGCTTTTGTTGGTGTTATTATGATTATCGTTGTTGCATACTTTGTTCATAATATTTTTACTGAATGTACGTAACGTATGTATGCAAAAAGTGGAGAGTTTTATAATTGCAACATATCTCTCAATTATTTGTTAAATATTACATTGCGACTGGTTGCCTATAAGTCTTGTCTCTTCAATTTTATTTTTATTTTTTTTTGCAATTTTTTTCTTTGTTTTGTCCTGTTTGTACGTTTGTCTGCCTCTTGAAATAATTTTTAACGCCATTCTTGACGAGAAACCGCATTATTGAAATCATCATTCCATTCAACCATCATCAATGTTGTTTTCCTTGTTGTTGTTGTTGTTGTTGCTGCTGTTGCTGTTGCTATTGTTATTGTTGTTGTCGCAGCAGTCATATTCATTAAGTATAACAGCAACATGGGCGTATATAACAAGAACCCAGCATGCCAAGCAACTTTTCATGCATACAGGGTACAGGGTGCATAACTTGAGAAACTTTCTTCTATCAACACACTCCGCCATATGTTGTTTTTACAAACCCTGCTCTTGAGAAAGCGTAACAACTACAAGATATGCTGGCATACCAAAAGTTAGATTGTCGACATGTATCTATATATATATATGGGTGTGTGTGTGTGTGTGTATGTGCGTGTACAGGGTAGCATATTTTTTTTTTATTTTTTTTTTTCAATTTTTATAAACCAAATCAGACTGTCATTTTAACTTGGCTATTTCTGGTATTTCGCCAATGCCAGTTTTCGTAGGGTTTTGCGCGGAAGATATCTTTTTAGACTTATTCTGGTTAACAAATGAATAGCCACAGCAACAGTAACAACACCAACAGCAACAATAATAATAATAATAATAATAATAATAATAAGAATAAAAATAACAATAATAACAAAAACAAAAACAACAATGACAATAATAGTGAACTAGCATCAGCTAACTTAAATTACTCCTGCTGCAATCCCCATGTACTTTATTTAGTCGGCTCCTTTCATCTGTTAGTTATTCGTTGACTTGCTTGCTGCATAAATGTATTTTTTTTTTCCTCTTTTGCTTGTTTTCGTTTTCAGCGGCCCACGTAGTATTTGTACGTATGACTAGAGCCACACCGAGAAGGACTTTTCGTATCTTATATTCGTTTAGATTGTCTGCATGTCGGTTGTTGTTGACGTTTTAACATGTTGTTGTTGTTGTTGTTGTTGTTGTTACTGACTCTGCTGCTGTTGCTGCTAGTGCTTATATTATTATCGCAGGCACCATGGTATGCCTGAATAAGAGGAAGATGATACTTTCTGTAATAATGAAAATGGTAATAATGATGATCCTCAGCATGATAATGATAATGATGATGATAATGATGATGATGATGATGATGATATGAATTTTGAACTTGTTTATGTATGCGTGTATCCATTTGAGCATGTAGTCGCTGTTGTTGTTGTTAGTTCACTTTAACAGATAAATATGAATCGTGTCTAAACTTTGATTCAGCTGGTTTCGCTACACGCCTATGACCAGAAAACGTATCGTACACTTGAAAACATATTATAACCAACCGATGTAATAACGTAACTTGTATCATTTCAATCCTTAAAGGAGAAAATTTTTATGAAATATTTTTGTTTTCTTCTCTTCAAAATTTTGAATGAGAGAAATGATTGGTGAAAAGCTATTCATTTCAATTATCATTTTCATCCAAGATACATGCAGTTGTTTGCCTTACAGCGAACACACACATGATCGGTGACGTTATCTCAAATACCAGAAAGCCCCATAAAATGAATTTCTGGGCATATTTTATGCTCAATTGGCCGATAATTGACTGAGTATTCGAGGTCGTATACTATGCAATTAAACACATGTGCACATGCACGTCTGTAATTAACATATGAGGATATGTAGTAGAAGTAATTGTTTAATGTGGCTTATAGACGATTTGTGTTCTGAGGCGGTATTTTCTAAACTATGGTATCCTGCTGTGTACGTAAAGATTTTTATAGCCGAAATTAACTAAACTGATTTTAAGTGAGATTCGAATTAACATTGAAAAATTCAATTTCGTTACGTTCGATACGTTCGTTGACTGAACTTAGCTGAATTAAGGAAATTGTCAACGTTGGACTTTCTCTTCTCTCTCGTATTCTAAAGATTTCTCTGCCTCGAAATTGATTAAACGATTTATTGAGGATATAATTGTTGAACTAAAAGTATTTCATGTTTTCAATACACACGTTATACGGTTGTCTAAAAAATGAGAAAAAAAAAGAAAGAAAGAAGGAAGCCGAGGAACCGGCTATTTTTCATTTACTCTATATCAGGTCAGTGACAAATGATTCTTGGATAAAATTGCTGTCAGTAAAAATATATCGATCGTGGAAATTTACTATGCTTAACTTGCCATGGAATTTGCGAGTCAACGAAGCCGATGCATATGGGCAAGTTATTGTAGTAAGATGGTGCCGTTATAAAAAGATAATCAAACCTGAATTCTTCACATTTACTCTGATTATTTGATTCGCCTAAGTAGCAGCAGTGGAATGAATCAACTTCGATCATTCCTTTGTTGACTTTATTTTGATCGATTATTGGCAACGTAGTAAAGCAGACAAAAGTCTTCTCGCCTTCTTGAACCGGTTGAGAGAAGAACATGGCTTAGCTGCATAATTTTTGAATAGTCTATGGGTATGGTATCGCAGGAAAAATTTCTTAGCATAAGAAACTTAAAAAGTTGTTTTATTAAATTCGAATTCATTTTAAGGAAAATACAAGTAAAAACATTATAGTCGCCCAAGATCGGTCATTAAGTGTACTACACCGCTGCGCCTAATGCAATTTATTATTTATTTTCGTCATACAATATCAGAAATAGTAACGTATTTTGCGTGTAAGGCCACACTTCCCATCTATCGTGGGATCAAAACGTGTGTCGATGTGATTCAAATTGAGTAAATATAATTTTCATTTTAATGACGTCATTATATTCCACCTATTTTTATTAGAAAAAATCGAAGAATTAGACATTTTCATTTTTTCATAGGAACCCTTTTATAGATGGACTTATATTTAGGCAATTTTTAGCATAAAATATAAAAAATGCAACTTTCTTGCCATCTAGGAACTTATTTTTCATAAGACCCCTTATTTGCGGTCCAGTCCAAAAATTAGACCGTTCAGTTCGAAATTTATTACAGTTCATTTCTACGTCACTACTACTATTACATTAAAATATTAAAAATTTCTTGCCATATGAAGGTTTATTTTTCTTAAGAAAAATTATGGGAATGAGATAAATGAAAATTAGCCTATCCGATCCAAATTTTTCACATCAATTTATTATGTCGAAGCATTGTGATGCAACAATTTTTGTCGAGATATTTTGAAAATTGTAAAAATTTTTTTCCCAGGGGATAGCAACGGTTTTAAAGTTAAGCATTCTAGGGGGAGTGGCAGCGAAATTGATTCAATTAAATCGGTTTTCAATAGTCAAAGCATGCAAGCTTACTAAGTTCACAAAAATTATGACGAACACAAAAGTTTATTGGCAAATATTAGAAGGACAGACGGACAGACGAGTTAAAAGATTAATCTATTTTAAGTTTTTCTGGTCATTATATACATGCGCACGACTTGTTATAATTTGCATTAAAAGTTGTGTAGGGTAGAAAAATGATTTTAGCCGTTAAATGAGATCGAAGGATTGATATAATGACCGTGAAGCGAATGAAATGTGAATAAAGTGTTAACTAAGAACGTCTCGTTATAAGAAGTTGAAAACAAAAAGACAAATGTTTTATAATAAAAACTCGGTCGTATATCACCTATGATGGTAAGCAATAATAAATTTTCAATTTTTTCTTATCACATATGTGCTTGAGTATACTTGCGAATAGGATATATAGGAATAGTAAGGAATTGTGATTGAGTGACCATCTTTATTTGTATAGTGTATTATGTTCATTTACTAAGTTACGATTACAGGAGTATGAGTAAAATTTCAACGATTCGGTTCACTGATGCTCACCTATTCAATGAACTCGATTATAGAATGGAATTCGGTAAATAGTATGGAACGTATAAAATTATTATATTTTCATTGAAAGTGAATTAATTGATTTTTCTAAGTGTATTTGAATATTTTTCACTTCCACTTTTGTTGGCCTTTAACTGAATTTTGTTTGAGAAGTAAGATGTTGCTTGAAGCGGTTACAGAAAAAATGTAAAAGGAGGCAAAGGAAAGAATTGCCAATTCATGCTGTATTTTGTTGTTGTAGATTGGAATTTTTGAACAACAGAAAGGAAGGAACGTAAGTATATTGCAGACACCGTGTCCGAATCATCACTTTCCCATGGCAAGAGCTGCATGCTGTAATCTTGCTGAATTTTTGTTGTTATATGTTGGTCTTGTTCTTCTTCTTATTGTTGTTGTTGTTGTTGTTGTCGCAATAGTTATTTATTCCACCATACACATGCATACACACACACATGCATAAACACAAATAGTTAACACACGCGCTCGCGTTTATATATACGCATACATACATGCCCACATATACATGCAAAGTCTAAGTTAACAAAAAGTATCATCATTATCATCTTGATTGTGGCACACTCCTGC